GCACCTCCCTGAGGAATTCACACTGTTGTGGCTGGGGGACTTTGGGTACTGGGGTTTTAGTCTGGGAAGATTCTTGCTAGAGATTGTAGCTAATAAACATAGCTGGATTGAATTGGCATTGTCTCTTGGAGTTCCTTGGGCTAGGCCTGACAGTGACACTGCCCCATTCAGACTTGGTACGTAATCTGGGGGTCCTTCTGGACTCACAGTTTCTACTCAAAGAGTAGGGGGCAGCTGGGGCTGGTGGACCTTTGCACAACTGTATCTTGTGCACTAGTTGTCCCTATTCCTGGAATGGGAGGCCTTAGTCACCTCCCGATTGGATTATTGTAACACACTCTACATGGGGCTGCCCTTGAAGATTTGGACAGGCTTGAATAGGATAGAATTTAAGTGGGAGAAATGTAAAGTTCTGCATCTGAGTAAGAAAAATGTAAGGCACAAATATAGGTTGGGGGAGATCTGACCTGACAGTAATACATGTGAAAGAGATCTTGGTGCCCTCATCAACCACTAGTTAAACATGAGCCAGCAATGTGCTCAAAAGGTAAATTCCATCCTACACTGCATTAACAAAGAGATTACTTTGTCCTGGCCAGACACTCTTTGGAGTACTGTGCACCACAGTTCAAAAAGGCCACTGACAAATTGGACAAGATGGTGAAGGGTCTGGAAACCAAGTCCTATGAGGAATAGTTAAAGGATCTGGTATGTTTAGCCCTTAGAAAAGGTGACCAAAAAGGGGATATGATAACTATCTTCCAACATATGTAGGTTATCACATGGAAGAAGGAGTGAATTTATTCTCTATTGTCCCAGAGGGCAGGATCAGAACTGGTTAAACCACAAAGAAGGAGCTTCAGGCTAGACATCAGGAGGAACATCTGAGTACAGTATATGAGCTATCAGCCAGTGGAACAGTGCATGGCAACTTCTCCTTCATCAGAGATCTTCACACACAGGCTGGATGATCATTGGTTAGAAATGCAATAGTAGATCTTACATTGACCAGAAGGTTAAGCTAGATGGCCTCTAGCCACCCAAATGTTTGATTATACATTAGAAAGGCTCATCTAGTATCTTCAGCACTACAGGTGAAGTGATCATGAAATAACTCCCTCAATTACACAAGTCTTACAGAAGCTCTCCTATTATTTAGCTCTATTCATTATATGTAAAATTACAATTAATTCCTATATAAAATATGAGTTTTTAATATAAGGTTTTATCATATATATAAAATGTTTAAGAATAAAGAACTCAGCAAAAAATGATATAACACGGCACAGAAGATTACTATAATTTTTGCACAAAAAACAATGCTTACTTCATTTGTTTTACAATTGTGCTCTTCCCAGATTCTCCTGCACCTGTAGATAAAAAAAGAACATCAGAAATGGGCTTTGATACTAGTATTTGTGCTATATAAATTAAGATGTTAAAAATATGAGTAAGGATAACATGTATCAGTGTAATTCCCTTCATTGCAATAACCAAAATCTTCTCATTGCATAATTTTAGAAATCTGAAATTTGGTTTATTTAATACCACTGCCAAAAGAAAATCTAATTAGGAATACCTTGGACTATTTTCAAGTGTACAAGCATATTTTGTGTTGTACAAGGTATTTGAGTATTTGAGTGACTCTAGAAGGAATATATCCATTTATTATTCTAGCATTCCCAGAGAAAATAAAAGTAAGATTTTTTTTAGTAATTCTAAAAATATGTGATAATGGATCTAAACATCTATGCCACTACTTCCATTTATTTCCAGTTCAAATTATTTTTCCCTTAGCCAATATTTATTCAATTATATCTAAAAAATCCATATTATAGCTTATTTACATTTCTCAAAAAACTGTTATTTTCCAAAACCTCTTTTTATGAAATAGATGTCACTGATGTCGAGAGGGAAAAAAAAAAACCACACACACAGAAAAGGAAGCTTTATAGGTCTGTTCAAGTGTCTAAAGAGAATTAATAGTTCTGGGTCTTGTCATATCCATTAATAAAATATTTTAAAATGCAATTCTTACCAAATTGACCTTACATAAAAGAGAGAAATGTGAGAAATCTGTATACTGTACAGAAATGAAATCTCTTCTGACACAATATTCAAGCTCTGATAGATTTCCAATCACACCTTCTACCTCAGAAAAAAACTGCCTAGTATAGACTGCATACAAAAATTGCATAGAAGTGGAGAAAAAAGCAGAGGTCTTAACTTCTATGTAACTACAAGGGATCAGGGTCAGATGAAGATAAGCCAATTTTTAGGAAAAAAATGGTCACAACTGTGTAAAGCTATTTTAAGGACTGATGTACATAAAACAAAAATAAGACATTGATCTTTGTATATCCTAAGGTGAAAAAACTTTAATTAGGTAGTAAAAGCAGAATATTTTGATCAGTGCTTGACTTTTGCAAATTTTCTTTCATTTTGCTTTCTCACATGATTAGGACAAAAGCTGTGCATGGGATTCTCCTTCATATAATCTCTATAGTAACATTCCTTGAATTTTGTCAATCTCTAGTTCATATAATAGGTTGAAATAAAGCCTAGAGCATAGCTAGTAAATGAGATCTATGGCTCACACATATCACTTCACACAAGTCTCTCCCCTACTCTTGGTATGTTTGGGTGAAAGTGAGAACTGCTGTTTTAAATTAGAAATTATCTACATTTTTAATTGACTGATGGTGTTAAGTGATATAAAAAATAGGAAAGAAACTCATCAATTTCATCAGTGAGGTTCATAATCCTTGAAAAAAACATGAATGCATACCTGCACTATAGCCCCTAATAATTAAATAAACCAGATAAACACAGAAAAGGGTCTTTGTGAAACTGACAAGTTTTGCCAAGCCTTACAACATTTACAGAGACCAATTAAAAAGTTTAACTTTTCAAGTGTCCTGGGGCAGGAACAGATAGTTGGGAGAAAATGTTGAGGCAGATTGTAATCTTAAAGCTTATGATCATCTAGGATAAGCAAGTGATGGAGCATCTTCTACATTCACTGAAGTCTCTGTTGCAAAATTTAAAGAAAAATAACTATTATGCCCAACTATGATAACATGCAGTTGCTAAAATTAGTTAAAATGTCTATATGATCACTAAAACACCTGAAAACATACGTATGTCATTTTATCCTGTATTTTGACTCAGCCTCAGAGAAAGCTGGCCCACCTTTCTCAACTATATATTCAAGAAAGTCTGCCCTATTTTTTAAATGCCAGATCCTGCTAGTGAATATTTCCTAAACCTCTTTCTCTCTTTTTGATACATCCTTACCAGAAGTGGTTCACAAGAAAAGGGCTCCTCTGTCACATTCTCTGATCTCTGCTCCTCTCCTGGAATTACTTTCTCTCAATTAAGTGAAGTATTAGAAGTTATTAACACCAAAAGTAGGTTGTGCACATTGACAGCTGGCAACAGTGCTGAGGATTAGCCAGATAACTATTTTTTAAACAAATTAACAAGAAACCTGGAAAGACCAATTTTCAAATTTCACCGAGGCACAAAGCATTTGAGTGGCCTTCTATCCTCACTTTCCTCATCAAACTGTTGAGAATCAAATGGGGAGAGAGACTTCCTACACTGATGTGAAGTTCATGAAGGAAAGGAGGGATCCCAAGATAGTGTAGAATTCAAAGTTTTGTAGAGAAGGAATAATTTTTATTACGTTTGACCCAGGGATAATGAAGAACCAGAAGCTTCACCACAAAAAATCCAGTTTAAACTGTTCAGTTCTCTTATCTTACCTCAGAGAACCAGTGACATCTAGGTATAGAAAATCTGACTCTATTCAGCAGTCTTGAGAAGGTAGCTGGACTAATAACCCTCTGCTATGTCATACCACAGATACACCATACTAATCAGAAGAAGAATCTTCTTAACTGCACATCATATTAACACATTCACTAACAAGTTCAGAACTGCAAGCTGGTGTCTACAAATGACCAGCTGTTGAAGCTTCACAAAAGCTCTATGGCCTCTCATATAGGAAAGTTATCCAACTGGTCTATTTGCTATTAATTACATCTGAATGTGATAGTAATATTATACAAGGGGACTGGCAACAAATTTCAGCTTCAGGCACAATTGTTTCACTAGACTTGACAGCCCCCATTTTGACACACGCAATAGAGCAAAATCCATGAAGACTTATCTACATGTGAACCAGAATGGCCAATTGGCAAGAATTTAAATATTCTCAATTTCATTGGGAACATTTCTAGTTTAATTCCAAAAGCAAGTCAAGCTGCTTCTTTTTAGTTACTCATATTTGTTACTTAAAGCCCAAACAAATCACAATATAGTTTGTTAAAGACAATTAGTTCCAGTACTCATTAGCACATGAAGTAAAAAGGAGCAGTGCACAAGTATAGTATGTGCATTGTTCCTGGAAGTTAACATTCGGCCATGAAAACAGGCTTAGAGCTGGACATTTTCAAACCCAAGAAAAAGCATTCAGGCAACTTAATGCATAGAGAAGCCAAAGTGCAGCCTAGTTATAAAGCATAGAGAAATCAAAAGTGGGGAGTTTATGGTTCAGAAAACCTTGGGTTCACTGAAAAAAAATGAGGGATTACACAAGAATGGCATTGGAAGAGATATTATTAAAGCATTCCTCAAGCAAATGCTATTTTCCCAAAAAGCATTTGGGAAATATAAATTTATTTTTGTTAAAAATAAATGTATTTTTAACAAAAAGGGATTAGGGTCTTTCTGACAGGTATAGAATAACACTTTAAATTTGTTATATAGGAAGGTATGCCTAAGAATCGTAACAGGATAACAGATATTTCATTTTTAAAATATGAACACATGAAGGCTGTCTCAATAGCACTCTTGTCTCTTACACAAAAGCTGATCACATAAAGAATCAGTGCTGTGTGTCAGATCTGTAGTTTCTACAAGGGATTCAAAATAAATAATTTAAAACATTTTACTAATTATCAGATGTTACTATGAGACTAGCTATGTTATATTAGATGAGACTCTTCTGCCTAATGCCAGCTGAAAGGCACAAGGATTTCTTCCTAGTTATCAATAGCAATCATCCAATAACATAGTTATCTTCTAAGGTAGTATTACCAGATGAACTGCTGTAGGAAAGTACAGGTACTCCTCACTATCCAAGCACAACTGGGACCAGAATTTAGATTGCTAAGCAATGTGGTCATTAAGTGAATTATCATGTGACCGCTTCACTTAGTGACAGCAATCCCAGTACTCCTGGCTGCCGTCATTAAGCGAGAATCACAGGTCATTAAGTGGATTGAGTCCCAGATAAGAAGTGCAGAAATGTCTCAGGGGGATGAGGGAAGCCCAGCGCAGGCCACATGTGAGTTGGGGAAGCCCTGGGAGGCCTGGTGCAGGCCACATGTGGCACAAAGCTGCAGCCGCCCCTGGAGGCCACAGCTGCCCCAGCAGCACTTATGACTGCAGGGGCTCTGCAACTCCCCTCCCACCTATCTCCTCCCCATCTATGCCCTTTTGGATGCCCTGCACAGCAGCACTCAGCAGTGGCAGTGACGTGGCTGGGGCTGAAGTAGAGGCCTGAGGCCTTCAGCAGTCTCAGCCAGCAGCCACTGCCCCCAGGCCTTGATGTCAACCCCAGCACCACCGCTGCCACTGAGAAATGCTGCCTCACGCCCCACATCGCTGGCCTTCAGCACCTCGTGCCATACCCCAAGCCACGCCTCTCCTTCCTTCCCTAAAGCTGACATCCCGTCATCCCATTCCCTTCCAAAGCCACGCATCCCGTACCTTCTGCAGGCCATGCCTCTCCTTCCTTCCGTTATGCCGGCATCCCATTCTCATAATCCTTCCCCCAGGTCTCACAAGAATGAGACTCTGCTGAAGGTCTCGGGCCTCTACTTCAGCCCCAGCCCCAGCATTGCCACTGATGAGTGCCAATGTGCAGGGTGGCCAAAAGGGCATAGATGGTGGGGAGATAGGCGGGTAGGGGAGTTGCAGCACCCCCATGGTCATAAGTGCGGGCAGGTTGCCAAGAGCTTGAATTCTGATCATGTGATTGCGGGGGTGCTGCAACAGCCGTATCTTTGGGCATGGATCATAAGTCCATTTTTTTCAATGCCATCGTAATTTTGAACGGCCGTTGAACGAATGGTCATTAAGTGAGGACTACCTGTATACATATTCCACCAGTTCCTTCCTGAATTACTACAACTGCTGTTAATTTAATATTTTACATTTGAAATATGGCTGAAATACCCCTAATATTTTGGTTATTATGACAATAAAGGACTTTAATGATACTTTTAGGCCAAGAAGTGTGACATAAGGCCATCCATTAAGTTATTCCTACCAATGACAGAGGTCCTTCTGTGAAGATTGCTAAGGAGAAATTGAGCTGCCTCTGTTTTTGGTTTAATGCAGG